CATCTTCTTAACAGTTGCCAGAAATGTATTCCTCCTAAGATGTAGGGTGAGAATGGCTTTTCAAACAGGTTAATCTTTGATGCTTACTAAAGCACAGGGCTAATGCTGATGAAGAAGTATAGGCAGATGGAGAGACTCTTTAAGTCAGAACCCAAGTCTGGAGTTGATACTCTGAATGGATGGTTACTACTTCCAGACCCCTGAAATAGGTTCTCAAAACAATTTCATAATATGAACCCAATGATACTGGTAATTTTAGAATTGTAGCTAGTAGACTTTCCATTTTTAATATACAGGCTAAAGTGAAAATTTCCAAAAGAAATTTTATCTTCTGAATTAACATATACCAAAATATTTCAAGCTATGGGTACAGAGAAAAATTATTCATTATTTTTAAGGAGCCAAGAAAAGAAAATGTTGTAACTGGGAACTTTAAAAGATGAATGTGAAAAGCCAAAATGCTATAAATGTTCTCTATATGCCAGAAGCGCCTGAACTTTCCATTTTTACTAAATTACATCTAATGTAAGCACATTTGGCCTTTTCCTTGCTTCCTCATACTATGATATTCCAATCAAACTGTTTCAATATAAACTAAATCTTGATACAATACTATTATCTCAACCAGAAGCTCATTTTAAAGCAATATAACCTTTAATGAGATATATGTACAATGGGTATGAGCAGTGATATACCTAAAAGGCTGTTTCTCCATAAAAAGAAGATATGTTTAATATATTATTCTAGCATCACCTTCACATTCCACTTGTCAGGGAATTAGGGGCAATAGCCTATGTGGTTTCCAAGGAGTAGGAAGGTTCTGCTATGAACTTCTTCTCCTTCCTTTTTCTTCCTTTTATTTTCTTTCTTCTTGATTTTCCAGGAGAGAAGGGAGAGCACTAGGGCCCATGAAGTATCGTTATAACCTCTCTTTGACATTGAAAGCAGACAGCAGGGAAAGAAAAGAAGTTAATTCCAAACAAGAAAGACTCCCTCCAGTTTTAGTATATGCAAGTGCCCTCTATCTGGGACATGGATCAGCAAACTTCCTCTGTAAAGAGCTAGGTGGTTAATTTATCTGGCTATGCAGACCATGAGGTCTCTGCTGCAAATATCCAATTCAGCCATTGTAGTATGAAAGCAGCCATAAACAATATGTAAACAAATGAGTATGGCTCTGTTTCAATAAAACTTTATTTATAAAAACTGGAGACTCAGGATGCCTGGGTGGCTCAGTTGGTTAGGCATCCAACTCTTGATCTCAGCTCAGGTGTTGATCTCAGGGTTGTGAGTTCAAGCCCCTCATTGGACTCTACACTGGGATGGAGCTTACTTAAAAAGAAAAAAAAAAAAACCTGGAGACTGGTTATATTTGGCCCACGGGCTATAGTTTGTTAATCCTGCTCTAGGTAAGAAATACAGCCTAGTGTTTGAATCTTAGATATGGCCATGGGTCTGCCCAGCTTCTCATGTTCTTTTGTCACCCTACTACTTTAAAAAAAAAAAAAATCAAACCTGTACCTTGTTTCTCCCTTTAAATATTTCTTTCCTGTCAGAACCATGATAGTTGTTGAGTCCTATAGGTGAAATTTCAGGAAAGAAAAGTTGTTTCCCTTATTGTCTAGAAATTGATGTATATTTACCTATAAATCTCATCAACCAATATCACTTATTAGCTAGTAATGTGTGAAAAGCTCTTTTCTAGGTCTTGAGCCAATAAAAAGGGAAGTAGCAATCAGCCTTTGCCTCAAGCAGCTAATACTCTCACTGCAAGTGTCATGAGAAGAGGAAACTTTGCATTTCTTTGACAGAATCATGAATGTGTGTATGAGAACCAGTGAAAGAGGACAAATGACAAATAGGTACCTGAAGTTATAAAGGTGTCCATGATGCTTAGAACTCAGAGCATTAGGAAAGTCCAAAGGCTAGAAGGTTGCTGGAGAGCCTGGGGGAGAAATATTCATATGGAGAAGGAGCACACATATCTTAAAAAGAGGACTCCTAAGACTTCTTCTCACTTCTAAATTATTTTCTGATTAGTCTGACTTCCTTTTGATAATAGACAAAGGTCAAAGCTTAAACTTCCCTCCATCTCCTCACCATTCTCTACCCCCTTCACTGCCCCCTACCCCAACTGCAAAGAGGAAAATCCCTGATGTGGATGTGGACCAATAGTACTACTATGTCCCAGCACCAAGCAGGAGGTGTGAGTGGAACGTAGGGGGGCGGTGGAGAGTCTTCCAGTATGACTGGAAAACATGTTTACATCTCAAGGGTACCTGTGGCACGCCCTCATTCAAACCCCACATTTGGCTGTTATTATTTGGACCCTGTCTCTCTTCTCCCACGAGGTTAATGTGGTAAGAAGGGCAGGGAATTTCTTCCACATTGAAGGAGGCAGCTCTAACCTCTGTTCAGATTAGGATCCTGAAAAATAGAGACACTGTCAGACCATTAAGTCTGTCTTCCTTTGTATCAAAGGAGCATCTGCGAGTTACGTGGGACAGCCCAAAACACCAACATGAGAGGTTCCATGCAGTGGTTGGTATGAGGCAAAGCTTACATATGTGCTACGGACTGAATTTTTGTGCCTCCTCCAAAAGTTGTGTGTTGAAGTCTAGCCCTCAGTGTGATGGCATTTGGAGGTAGGACCTTGGGGAAGTGATTAGTGCCCTTATAAAAGAGACCTCAGAGAGTTCTCTTGCTTCCCATCTGCCATCTAAGGACACAGAAAAAAGACAGCCATCTATGAATCAGGAAGCAGGCTCTCACCAGACACTGAATCTGCTGGCACCTTGATCTTGGAGTTCCCAGTCTCCAGAACTATGAGAAATAAATGTTTGTTGGTTAAGTCACCCAGTCTGTGATATTTTTGTTACAGCAGCCTGAACAGTCTAATATAGTATTTAACTGATGAATTTTTGCCTAGAGTCTCCCCCAGAACATCTCTCTTGAGCAGAAGTTTTTATCCTTTTCTCTCAAGAACAGAGCAAAGATCAAAGATCCCCGTTTCACACGGGTGTGTTCATACACAAGGCAGAAGACCTCAGCGTGTTTGCTTGATCGGGTCAATAACATGCAGTGTGACTGTGACACTGAGCTGCTAGGGAGAATTCTCAGCCACACCACCTCTCAGCTGTGCAACCTTGGAGATGGTACTTAACTTTTCTGAGTTTCCAAATTCTCATCTCCAAAATCAGCATTATTACTTGCGCTACCCACTTAAAGGATTGTTAGTAAGATGAGCTAAAATAATGGTTATACAAGTATTCTATGAGTGGAAAAGCTATTTACAATATGAAGAAGTTATGATGACTATTATGATTGACATTAGAGATTTTATTTTTTTATTTTTACTTTTTAAAGATTTTACTTATTTATTTGAGAGAGCGATTGAGAGACAGAGAGCACGAGAGGGAGGAGGGTCAGAGGGAGAAGCAGACCCCCCGCTGAGCAGGGAGCCTGATGCGGGACTCGATCCCAGGACTCCAGGATCATGACCTGAGCCGAAGGCAGTCGCTTAACCGACTGAGCCACCCAGGCGCCCCTGACATTAGAGATTTTAATCAAACTAGAAGATAATGTTTTTTCTCAAACACTGAGTAGAACACCCCTAAGCCAATATTAATGCTCCTGATAGATCAGGATAGCATTTATTGTTACCCCAAATCAAGCTCTGCAGATTACTACTCTGTAAGATTTAGAGTGATGCCATTAAAAAGGTCTTCCAAAGGATTACGGAAATGTGGCAGTGGTAGTAGCCGCGTAGCTGCCAGACCTTCCAGAATCCCTACATAAAAATTGGCAGACCAATTAAATCGCAAAACCAAACTCATAAACAAATTTAGAACAAAACTAGATAGCAAAGTGTCCCCATAAAGCTCAAAATGTAAGCAGCTAGAGATAAACCACCAATAGCCTCAAGAACAGTATGCTATCACATCTATGCAGGTAAAAGCAGAAGGAAGCAATAGGGTGAGGAGAAAGCCAAAATAGTGACTAGGTAGTCACAGGGAAGTGCACAGGGCTAATATGTGCGCAACAGCTGAATCTGGGAAGGATTTTGCCCACTTACACAGTCTGGCCACCATAAACTCTTGAAACTGACGTTTCATGACTTTCTTCCCACACAGAGCCCCATACTGAAGGGGCGAGGAGTAGGATCAAATCTGAGCATGTCAGGGATGAGAGAGATGAAGAAAAGGTGGTATAGATAAAAATGGGGGAGGGAAGCAGAGTCAAGAATCTTGGAAAACAGCCACCATATTTTTTAACACTACATAAAAGCAACAGGAAAGATGGGTCTGTGAAGTTTGAAAAGCTATCTGAATCAAGCCACCTTATAAAAGTTTTGAAAACGAATTTCACATTTAAAAAGTCCACAGAAAAATATTTTATACAAAGTTAATATCAGAAAAAGAATAAACAGCAGAATATTACTATTGCAGAAAATAAAAGCATGCCAGAGAGACATATTCAAAATATAGATCAGAACTGTAGCATCCTATTCTGAAATGAGCTAAAAGACATTAAGGAAATGATACAAGGCATGAAAGAAAAACATACGAAAATAAAAACTCAGAAATAAGATGGCAAACTCCAAAAAGCTTAGAAATTTTTTAAAAAATCATGAAGACTAAACTATATTTAAGATGACTGATTCCATTCATGGTCTATCTTAATCTGGGCATCACTTGGAGAGCCTGTCCTTCTGAAGCCTTCATTTTTATCAAAGCATTTCTGCTTTTAGTGGAAGCTGAAGGAATGCAGAGCGCTCACCAGCCACGCATCTCCCTTTCTCCAAACCTCTGCTGGATGGCATTTGTTTTCCCACTCAAGACCAAGCCATTCTTCACGTGTCCCTTGTGGTCGCTGTCTGAGTAGGGACAGCATGAGGAGGTCTGTTCCCCAGCCTGGCAGACATGTTGTACAGCAGATCTCTACACCTTATTCATCTTGCTTAACTGAAATGTTATGCCCATTAAGTAACTCCCTCTTTGAAAAATGTGGAATGCTTCACCAATTTGGGTGTCGTCTTTGGACAGGGGCTGGGCTAATTTTCTTGGTATCTTTCCAATTTTAGGATATGCACTACTGAAATGAGCAGATTTACTTGTCTGCTTATGTATGTACCTACGTATGTGTTTTTGCATGCTCAAGTTTGAGAACCACTATGGAAGACTCACTTGGTCGTGGCTCAGTTAGGGTTTTCTTACCATCTAGCTGCTCGCAGACAGCCCCCTACACATCACCATACACAGGCATGTGCATGCGCTCACGCATGGGCACTGCTTCAGCTCCACACCTCTCTGTGTACTGAGAGCTCCCATGTGGGTTGAGATAACTGGCACTCCACCTTCCAGCCCTCTTTCACGTTGATCCTCTTTTACATTCATGGTCTATCGTAATCTGTACAACATCGTACCAAAGTCAACGATAATGGATTATATGCTTCAAAATTTGTTAAGCAGGTAGATCTCAGATTATAATAAAATAAAATTTAAAAAAGAAAAAAAAAGATGACTGATTCCAGAAACGGGGAAGGAAATACAGAAATTAGATCAGAAACTCTTGATATGCCAGAAAGCAAGACAGTTCTCAGCGATTAGCAGCCCATGTCAAAAGGAGTCAAGACACAAGTAGAGGAGAGTCTCATGGCCAAAGATCCAACAAGTTGAAGTTCAATAGTATTAGAATTGCGATGAATTAAAATCCATCAACTACGTTTTAACGCATAAGTTCATAAAGATATTTGCCCAATAAAAGCATTTGAAGTTAGAAAATTGAGGGAAAGCTGAGTTAAACAGATTTTTTTTTTTCCTGTGGGACTTCTCAGAGCTATTAAAATGTGTTGTAAATCTTTAAAAGAGGAGATACACTGAATGTTATCAAGTCTAAGACTCACATTTGTTTTTTACACTTTAACATCTGTGAAATTGGACTGCATCTTCCAATCAATGGCATGACATAATTTAATTAACACTGCTTTTTCTTTCTTAGTAGTACATAAAAATAATGGTGCATCTTACAATCAAAGGTTTCTTAGATTCTGTAAAATACAATAGCATGATTCCCTTTCCATTCATTCTATCACCAGCATTTTTTCCAAAGCATACATAGTAATGGATCTATGCTCAAAAATACCATATTTGAATAAAGGTACAGATCACGTATTTGCCCTCAAAATCTCCCAGAACTCCTCTAACATACAGACACTGTATTTCTCCACCTGGAAGAACACTTTCACTTTTGGTAGCTTATCTGTGACAACTCTGAGCACATCTCCTACCCCACTGTGGGCAGTGACCTCATCCTATGTATATTTCTTAACTCATCCCAAGCCTAAGCAGCCTTTTAAAGGTAGTTATTTTTTTTTTAAGATTTTATTTATTTATTTGACAGAGAGAGACACAGCGAGAGAGGGAACACAAGCAGGGGGAGTGGGAGAGGGAGAAGCAGGCTTCCCACAGAGCAAGGAGCCTGATGCGGGGCTCGATCCCAGGACCCTGGGATTATGACCTGAGCCGAAGGCAGACGCTTAACGACTGAGCCACCCGGGCGCCCCAAAAGGTAGTTATTTTTTACTAACTAACTGGTGCAGTTAATTTCCTGTTGAGATTTCCCTTAAAAAAGGTGCAATGGGGGCACCTGGGTGGCTCAGTTGTTAAGCGTCTGCCTTCGGCTCAGGTCATGATCCCGGGGTCCTGGGATCGAGCCCCGCATCGGGCTCTCTGCTCGGCCAGGAGCCTGCTTCTCCCTCTCCCACTCCCCCTGCTTGTGTTCCCTCTCTAGCTGTCTCTCTCTGTCAAATAAAAAAAAAAAAAAGATGCAATGAAAATGTAGGTTTCATCTTCCTTCTTTTAAAAAATTTCTATTACGCTAAGGTCTAAGAGGACTGGACAAATGTATTCTTGAATGATATCTGGGTTACTTGGTCCAAAATACGTCTCCTCTTATAAGGCCATCTTGACAATGCTGGAGAAAGCTTATCTTTACAGAGAGGCCATTAAGTTCAGATTTAGAGGATTCATAACAAAAGAACAAGAAAGACATTTTCAACTAGAAACCCAGCAGATACAAAAATAGGGTAATAAAAACCAAAACAGTAGCTCCTGACACTCAGCCCATGATTATAGAAACATAACAAGTAGATCACAAAGGAAGCTGACCTCCACCACCTCCTCACCTAGTCACCAAGCTCATTAGCTGCTGGTAGCTGTGTGGGCATTGGTGCCAGCAACAGGGCCACTGTGGAAACAACTGAACCTTTTTCTTTCAGGAAGTCACATCTAGAAAGTCATTGAAGAAGAAGGATTTTTTTCCAAACCACAAAACTGAGTCAGACAACACGTACCCAGCATGAAGTATGGACTACTGCCACCGATTTCTGCTTCAGGCACTGGATTAAGAAGGAGATTATCTTACTTCTAGGTCAGCTAGGAAGCAAAGATGAAGGGCCAGATACATGGATGGATGGATGGATGGATGGATGGATGGATGGATGGATGGAACAATAGATAGATAGATCGATCGATCGATCGATCGATAGATAGTAAAATAGATAGATAGACAATTGCTGTATCTATATCTCTATATAATAGATGTAAGTGTATCCTTCTCTTAGTCCTGTTCCATCCACCAGCTCTACCTCTACTCCCTGGCAGATACAACCAAATCCAGAGGAAACTTTTCTCTTTGTCCCTCTTTTTGCCCCCCTCTTGTTCCCTCTCTCCTCTCCCCTCTCTGATTTTCTCCAAATTAAAAAAGTGGGGAAAGAAATGGCATTAAGGGTTTGAGACAAATAGTCAGAGATGGTGAAAGGAGAATTGTTCCAGTTCTTTTTTTCCACTTTAGTGCTTGTTCAAAATAAATAAATAAATAAATAAATAAATAAATAAATAAATAAATAAATAAATAAATAAAACTTTATTTTGGGGGGAAAAATGAAAATATACAGTGAAGAAAATGTGTAACAGGGAAAAAATACTGGCATAGGGGTCCCAAGTTCGAGTTCCAGTTCCAATTTTCCATCACATCTTAGAAGTATGTTGAGGTAAAAAAGCCCAAGTATGCCCTGGGCAGCACAATATCCCCTTTTGTCATGAACACACAGCTCCCTTCACATGGCCTCACAACACTTGTCAGAAATCATCTTGGGATCACTACATCTAAGGTGGCCTTATGGGCTCATGGGAGTTGGCCCTGCAAATGAAGGACAGTGAGGTAGCTCAAGTCTGCACTGCAGCAACAAGGTGTCCCCAACTGCACAGCCCTGGGAGCCAGCCCAGGGTCATTGGAATGGGCAGTTCCAGAGTCCCACATAACCAGATCATGGTCTAGAAGTCTCCTAGGCATCACAGACAGAAGGGAGTTCTCTCTCTCTTTTTTCCCATCCCCCTTTCAGATGAACATTATCTTAAAATGCTAGTGATATTTTAGGGTATATGTATGAATATACTTGCCAGGGTTTGCTTGTCATTTCCTGAATATAGGAACAAGGCCCTATACCTCTTCACATCACCTAATATAGTCCTAAGCACATCAGCAGGCACAAAAATGCATGTTAATACATGTTGATTTTAGAACTCTATTCCAAAATTGCCTACCTATTTTTGCCTATAATGTGTAAAACTGTACCATACACATGCATGTGCAGAAGACTACAGATATTTTTCATCCCACCTGCACTGCTTGGTTAGTATGTATCCTCTTATTTCCCTGGAATCGCCTTCCTGCTAGACTCCTGCCCAATATGCTGTGTGACTCTGGTTGTCTCTTTTTCCCATCAAGATTCACAGAGCTATCTGGTACTTTATGAGCATTTGAAATTGGGCAGTTTCAGTTGTGCAACAGTCCCAAATATGTGAGTTTATGTACCAATAAGAGGAGCTTATGGTTTCTATATTTTCTGGTTTCACAACATGGTATACTAGTTTCAATGAGTAATTTTTGGTTTTTACCAAATTTGTCTTTTACTTAAAGCTTCTTTATATATGAAACTCTAGAGAACTGTTTGTGGGAACAGAAATGTGCCAGAAAACTCAACCATATAAATGAAAAAAGAAACAAACCATCATGCTGATAGGAAAAGCACATATTTATAGGTTGACTATCCGAGTGGAAAGCAGAAATAAAGTAAAAACGTTCAAGGTAAATCTCTGCATTTTGGACACTGGCAAGCCAATTCCCTATTACCAACATTTATGGGGATTTTTTTTCCTAATAGTTACAGAATATCAAGACACTGAGGCTATTTTTCCTTCACAAAGTAGAATTAGCTTTCCATCCTCCTCCTCCTTCTCCACATTAACCATCTCTCTAGTGGCTACAAACAAGAACCATTTATATTTACATTAAAAATGATTTGGCCTATGTACACTGCATTGTTTGACAGAAAAGATGGATATTCGCTTATAATTAAGTTTCAGCATAAATGACATCATTCAGGAAGATAAGAGTTCCCTTATTCCCTCTCCGCTGGTTTTCTCATAAGATGCTGTGGGTTGTATGACGACTCTGATGATTTTTCTAGGCCTTCTCATCAACAAACTGTTCTGCAGCAATTCAGTTACCTCTGAAAATCTGGAGGAAATTTTCCCTAATTCATCAGATATCTCTTGGTTCTTTGCTTTTGGAAAAGGAGGGGTATAGAGCCGTGCCACTTGAATTATGGTCTGATGCAGCATGGGCATCACGCAGAAGTTTACTAGAATCTTACAGAATAGGATCTTATAGAATCTCATAGAAGATCTTACAGATCTTATATCTTATAGAAGATCTTATAGATCTTATAGATCTTATAGAATCTTATAGATCTTATAGAATCTTATAGAATCTTATTAGAATAGGATCTTATGGTCCCTCAGACATATGGAATAAAATCTGCATTTAAAAAAGATCCCCAGATGATTTTTCTACTTATGACAGTTTAAGGAATGCTGGTATGAGAGACATAAATACGTACAATGGGCAGCTTTGTGAAAAAGGTGCATTGTTTGAGGTTTTTTCCTGTCTTTAAACATCAGGCTTTGGGGGCTCGGTTTTTAAACTCTCACACATCCCTTTCCCCTACTATAGTAGGAAAACTATAAAATTAATTTTTTTG